GGCTATGTACATAGCTAAAATCAACAAATAATGGCAGGGCAAATGAACAGAACCAAACCAAAACAGAATACATTACAAGTATATTGTATGATATCTGATTTATGTTTTCATGTCATTTTATCAATTCAGTTTTTAACAATTCAGTGTTATTTAACCGTGTTAACTGTTTTTTTTCTTTCTAATGTTGCTGATGTATAGACAGTACAAGCCAAAAGTTTGAACCAACCCTCACATTCTGACAACTTTTGACTGTAGTACATTATGTCATGGGAACATATGGTGTTAATGTTTCTGATTATTTATGTTTATGAATTATTGTGTAATGATCATAGCACCATGATTTAAAGTGTTATCAAGGAAATACTTAACACTTCCAGTGACTAGCTTCAGTATTGCTGCTGTAAAGCTTCAATACTGCATTGCATGCTGGCCAAGAAAACTGATTCATCAGTCAGTGTTTATGTCCTCATGCTCACGCAAAACCAACTCAGGACTAAGTATTATGTCTATGGGGAGAGTCAATACATAGCTTGCCCCGCTGTTTATTAGTCATGCTAATGCTAGCAGCTCAGTCTGAGAGGAACAAGCTGAGGCTCTGATATTTACTTGGCCTGTTAACTTATATAAAATATAGAGTCTTGAATGCATACAGTAAATGAACAAATTAGGCTTTTATTTAGCGCTTTCATGTGTACCACGGAATGATTTTCCTAAGACTGAATTTAGGAATTCGAACCTGCAGTAAAACAATAAAAACTCACTAATCTGTAAAAGAGGTCAAAGTGACAGAGGGCACCACACAACTGGCCCAACCTGATATCTTCCCCCCCCCCCATGTTGTGGTTCTTGACTCTGCACACTATCTTCTCGCCTCCAGGGAGACCTCCTGCCTCCAGCTGTGTTATGCGAGGGCAAAAGAAATACTTTTGGTGGGAGTAGTAAAATTGTTTCATTCCCGCAGCAGCAGAACAGGCAGAACAAGAAAACAATGCCTGTTCTTTTGTTGTGGGAGATGCCCCAATAAAGATTTGGGTGATAGGTGTTTATTGTTCTTTTGCTTGTGAATCTAAGGTTTTCCCTTTTCATGTTTGGTATCATTTTAAGTGTCTCAGTGCGATTGGTAAAATGGTCTTAATTTCATTACAGTCATTGGAAATAGGAGAAAGATTGAGAACTTAGGAGAATCCTGTTCTCCTCCAAGGCTGATGTCTTTTTAAGATATAATCTCCCCTCTCCCCTGAGACCAGGTGTTACCCCCTGGGGTATAGGAATGGACCCAAAACAAACTCTAAAAGATATTGGTACAGCCCTTTAGTTCATGGTCTGGGTATTTAAGGCTAGGTAACAGAGTCTTCAGGAACCTGTAACCAGGAAAACCCCCATACAGTGCTGTGTCAGTGTTTTCCCAGTGGAAAGCACTCACACACTACTGTGTGTCTCTGTCAGGAATGCATTGCTTACTTTTAGAATCATCTTTGAGTAAATTATGTCATGTATTTATTATTTCTTAATTGGCTGTTAATTGCTTGGGTAATTGGCATGATGCATTTTTCCTGACAAATAAATGTTACATCTTGATTTATTCTGAAGTATTCTGACGTCATTATTTTAGTAAATTATAGGAGGATGGTGCTACCGCAAATCTTGCAGGATAGGTCAAACTAAAGGCACAGATGTGAATGGAGCAGTAGGCACGTCCTCAAAAGGAGACCTTTTGATTTCTGTCTATCACTGATTTAGCAAGTTGTATGGAAATGGCTAAAGTAAACTACATTCTTTGTACGAGTGAGCCGTAGGCAACCGACTTAAGAAGTATTAGCTAACCCTGCACCCTCTGACTAAATTGAGAACTGACAAGGTTTGTGTCCGAGAAACACGATACAGCCGACGTGATCTCTGTGCGGCATCGGGTCCATAATGAATTAATAACTGAAAGTGTAAGAAACTCTGACTAATCAAAGATCTAAATTAAATCATAATCAATAGTTATGGTTATTTTCTAATAAGAAACACAATCTAAACTTGATCATCAGTAAAAATTGGAGTCAGATTAAGCGTAGACCTAAAGTAACATTGAAACTAAATTCTAATAAATTAAGGGAACTTCACTGGATCGCTGAAAAGACATACACGTACTATCCATTCGCCCAGCCATTGGATTCCATCTTTGGGCCAATGGGTGGTCCTTACACCACTGTACACCCAAAGTGCTTTACAATCATATCAACCACCACCAGTGTGCAGCATCCAAGATGATCTTGCCTATAACGTCACAAATAGAGAGGGGCAGAGGGACTGATTACACTTTGGGTTGTGGTACTATGATATTAGACAGTTATTAGTTTCAATAAATATAAGTAATCACAAATGTAACCACTAGAATGTGCCCATTACATGTGAGAGCTATACATGTAAATGTATAGCTCTCATCATAGCTCTTCCACAAAATTGTGTTTGCCTAAGCAAATTATTCATAATCGTATTACAATTTGTTTCCTCATTTTAGGTAAATTATGGCCATGTTGTACTAATTCTTTCCCTTATTTTCATTAAATTGATATTTAACTATTAAAACAAGTGACTGAAATAGTACAACATGGCAAAGATGTTGAAACATGGCCACAATATAATTTTTTTCCTGTATGTCATGTGTTGGGCTCCGTCCAAAGCAACCTGCTCCATGTAAATATAATATTATTTTAATGAGTAAAACTTTTTAAGGCAAATAAGATTTAGATTGTGAATATAAATCCGGACTTTTAGTCTTAATTTCCTTTCAGGAACCCTCCTAAAACTCTGTAGAGCTGTACGTTTCTAACACAAGACCATATCGCTATAGGAGATTGATGCTTTCTTCCTTATCAGCACACAACCACAAACTGCATGGATGCATCTATTGATTAAATGTTTAAACTTTCCAAGAGTGCTCTCAGTCTGATCCCAGTTCAGCCTATTGCACAGACCCATGTAAGTGATCTCACACAGTGCTGCTGATTGTTTTTAACTCATGCTGGAGATGGAGAAAACATATATGAGCAGATTAATGCTCAGGTTACACATTGTCAGCATGTTGCAAAATCTAAAGATGAATTATTAGTTACAACAGGATGCGGGGCATATCATTTGTGCATGAGTTGCTAGCATTTAATACTCATGCATGCCACAGAATCAGATCATTGGTATGCAGAGAGGCATACAGGAATAGGTCGATGTGAGGGTGTTGCCCATGTCGCTCTCTTTCTTTTTCTCCATTCTGTCACTTATCGTGCATACATTTTTCCATGATATGCAGAGAAGGAGAGATAAATTCAGGGATTGAAAGAGAGCAATCAGAGCACTTCACTAATGACTAAGGATCTGACTGAAATATAGAGATAAAGTGGGAAGACAAAACATATAACATAAAACCAGGGTTCTTCAGTGAGGCATCTATGGTCCTGGGGTCTGGATACTACTGTTACAGACTTTTTTTTTTTTTTGCATTAAAGGGGTCATGACATGGATTTTTATTTTTTATTTTCCCTGAAGTTCACTTATAATGTAATTAAGTTTTTGTTTTTGCACAAAAAAAAATTATATATATATATATATATATATATATATTATTTATTTATTTATTTATTTAAATAAAAAATATATATATTTAATAAAAAATATTGCAAAGCGGAATTTACATTAAATTACATTTACTATTATCAGTGTCTAAAACAGTGTTTTTTTGTTGACTTCTGACACATTTTGTGGAAACAGTATGTTTCTTAAAGTTGCTACACTCTTATAGAACATTCTATATAGAACCTTAAAAGGTTTTATCAGCTCTACGTATTTGGAACCCCTAATAGGTTCTATAGAGAACCATTTTCAAGGGTTCAATAATAATAACCCTTTAGGGTTCTTCGTAGAAAAAGGTTCTATATGGAACCTTTTTTCATTCATTAGCCTATCATTTCTTTTGGCCTTTCCGGATTAAATATTTCATATTATTGACAAACATCAAGACCCTGAAATGTATTTTTTGAATGCATGTGAATGATCACAAAATTCAAGATATGGAACGGGTTAGAAAATGAATTTATTAAATTTTATGTTGTTAATCAACATCACACGAAGAGTACCATTTCAGTTTTTCTCCTCCAAAAATCAGTATTATTAAAATGTGATATTAAGTTACTAAAACAGTTTAATAAACAATAATTCAATTACAACTACAAAATGTTGCAGAATAATGTAATATACCTTATAAAACTTTTTTTAGCATAAAAGTTCCTTTGCAGTTGAGTAAAGAACCCTATGCTTCATATATAGAAACCCAATGAACCCTTTTTTCTAAGAGTGTAGTCTTACAAGTAAACACTTGCATGCAATGTCACTTGCTATTTCAAAAAGAGGATATTTTTCAAAAATTGAGTGGCAGCAGCAGCACAAGTTTCTGTCTCCCTCTTGAGGCAGAGATAAGAGTCACTGGTATGACTCAGTCTACTAACATGGGGGGGGGGGGGGGGGAAATCTAATTTTTGTGGAAGAATTTAAATCCATCAAGCTAAAGGCAATTTCAACTGTTTATCTCGTTCATTCTTTTGTTACCCTGTAAGTTCCTTTCATGATGTTTAACAGTCTGTGGTATATATCTGGATAATAATGTAAGTGACAGCAATAATCATTATTATATCACATCACATAATATGTTTAAATTCAAATGAATGAGTTGGAAGGAATTGAACTTCATTGCTTTTTCAGCACAATTGGATGATGGTTCAAATCGTGACTGTGTTATTCAGTCATTGTTTAAATAATTTATATATTACCAAATATTAAAATATTTTTAATATTACAAAGTAGTTCATTGGAGTTCGCAGGTTATGATTTTGTATACTGTATATTCATATAATTCAATGTTTAATCAAACCTATTTTTGTTTGATGCCAGCTAACTCTGTCATGCTTTTAATTTGGCAAGCTGTGCGTTAAATAAACATACTGTACCCAAAATGCTGTGTTCAGGATTTAAAGCCCTTCTGAAGTGTCTGTCCGGAAAGTTCTGCAGTCGGGAGCTTATCGGAATCATGGGACCCTCCGGGGCCGGCAAGTCCACACTCATGAACATTCTTGCCGGCTATAGGTGGGCATGCATGCATTAATGCACAGAGAAGGATTATTCCATAATTAATTTCCCGTTTATCACTTCCCAGCCTTTCTTTTTCTAGTCTCATTAAGATTTCTGTCCCATGTCTCTATCTTCCTGCAGAGAGACAGGCATGAAAGGACAAATTCTGGTAAACGGGCGACCCCGTGACCTCCGCACCTTTCGAAAAATGTCATGTTACATTATGCAAGAAGACATGCTACTGCCAAACCTAACAACACGAGAGGCAATGATGGTGAGATCCTTTGTGTGTGTCTGCGTGTGTGAGAAGTGCTCTGGAATAATTAATTTTGATTGGTCAATCACTGCATTCTGTTGACAAATATATGCATCATTTTCATTAAGCAGTAGGCTATATAACAATTGTCCCTGGCAACCAATCTCTTTTCTTCAAATAATAAAATAATTTCAATCCAAATCATTTTAATGCGCAATTATTTGTGCATAAACACCTTCAATTATATACTTGTAGAGTTTTTTTTCAATACAGCTGATGGATTATAGATTAGCCATGTTCTAATGTAATCTTTCCTTGTTTTGTTTAGGTTTCTGCTAACCTTAAACTTAATGAAAGTATGGACGTGAAAAAAGAACTGGTAAGCTTTTGCAGCGCCACAAATGGCTCGTTTCCACTGAGGGGTACGGTACGGTACGGTACAGAACGGTACGGGTCGGGTCGGGTACACCATGATCAGGCTTGCGTTTCCACCGCCAACAGTACCCTTGATAGGCGTCAGGCGTGGTATGCTGGAAAGAAGCGATCGACGTCATTTTCGCGCGAAGAAAGCGACATAGTAAACAACAATGGATGACAGACAGCAGATCTTGTTCTTGCTTCTCGGCATGTTTGTCACTAGAAACAAGCGCTGGCATTAGGCTTTTCCAAGAAGCCAACGCAAAGTCCGACTCAGGAGAATGATCCCGAGGACGCGAGTCCAGTAATTCTGTTAATGGAACAGCGCGTTCTTGAACGCGGCGATCTGCTCGCTCTGGCTATGCGACTCCGGTTCTCCGACTCCGACTCCAACAATAAAACGAAATATGTTATAAAACACCACTCTGCTTCTTTTCGATTTCATTTCAATACATTTTAAACATTCTAAAGCACACAAATGTGGTTCAGGCAACGCATAGCCTATTGATTATATTCACTGCATGCATGTAACGTTATATTTATAACAAAACTAAATATAAAACAACCCTGCCTCTTTTCGCTTAAATTTAAAAATATTAAACATATTCCAGGCAATGTGTAATGCAATGTAGCTAGGCCTATTGCATATCGCATTGGTACAAATGTTGCAATAAACAACAGATGATCTTGTAATAAAAAAAAAAAAATGACAAAACTATCTCTTTTTGTTGAATTTCAGTTTTATCAATAATAGCCATTATGAAAGTATAAAAGGTAGGCCTACAAAAAGATATACAATAAAGCTTTAATAACATCAAGAAACAATCAGTCAAATAGGATACAAATTCAGCGCTCAAAGATATGAAACTTCACGTAGCCTTCTGCCAAAACTATTGGCCAGGGAACGAGTTAAAGATTCACGAGACCAAAGATCACCTGTTAGGTTTATACAAGACGAACTATATCTCTTGTTTAACCACTACAGAGACGTCCGAGTCAGCGGCAAACATCAGAACGACTAGCCGAGGAAAGGCTGTTCCAGGTGGGGGACACGAGCGCGAGCGTCCGGTGATCGCTTGGAATGGATCTCAGTCAAATTATCATAAATCTATAAATAAACCACATATTTGAGCTTTAAAAAAAACACTTTCTCGCCTGAAAAACTCTTAAAACTACATTTCGTGACAAAATAACAGTAGAATTATATTTCATCTTTTTTTAATTTTTTTAATTTTTTAAATTTTTTTATTGCATAACAAGAACAATATATAACATACACAAACAGAGGATCACATAGTATTACATTCATAATAGCATTAAAGAAACAATAGACAAAGAAAAAAAAAATTAAACTATACAGGGGAAACATCATTACAAAAAGTTCCAAAAAGAAAGGGATTCAAAAATATTATACATCCGTTTCGCTTTTTTATTTCTTGCATCTTTTAGGGCTTCAATATAATGTTTAAGCTCAATTTTTAATAATATAATGTTAGGTTTATTATTTGTCCATTTCTGTTTGTGAATATGGTATTTTCCATACATAACTATTAAGTTAATCACCAAATTTTGCTCCACACTTTTATTTTTGTATAACAAAAAAATATCTTTGCCAGATAGACGAATCTTTAATTTTGTGAATTTAAATATCAAATATTCAACATCAATCCAAAACAGCTGGGTAAATACACATTCAAAGAATAAATGTTTTATTGATTCTTCTTCTGTGTTACAAAAGGTGCATGTTGTCTCCATATCTCTAAAAAATCTTGAGACTACTTGTCTCACTGGATAAGTCAAATGAATAATCTTATATGTAATTTCTTTAACTTTATTAGTAAGACAGTATTTACTGGGTAGACTCCAGACCTCTTTCCATTCAATCGGATTATACAATGAGTTCCAAAATGGTTTACATTTAGACAATAATGTAGTTTTGCATAATTCTCTAATAAAAAAGTTATACAATTTTGTATCTATAATTTTTACACCATCAATACTTAATTGATTGGTATTATATATGGAGATAGATTCAGAAGATGCATTGCCTGAAAAAAATTGAATAAGGCCACTAGGAATGGCATCAAATACTACTGCAAATTCTTTAGCAGTTACAGGGATCTTATAATGGTTCAGGAATTCACATCAACTGTATGCTTCTAATGCCCTTGTATCACGCGCGAGTGACGATACTCTGTCCACCAATCAGTGTTCTGCAGTGAGTCTAGCTCCACCTTTTAGTACCCTTTCACTGTGCTAGGTACCCCAAGGGTACCCAAAAAGTGGTACGGTTCGGCTTTTTTGGTACCATTCACAACTTTTGACAGTGGAAACGCAAATAATTGCGTACCGAACCGAACTGTACCGTACCGTACCACTCAGTGGAAACGAGCCATAAGATATATTATGTTAGAAAAATGATCAAAACTATGAAGCTGATTGGTGACACTGTGTTTATGTGTTTTTGTTAACTAAATAATGATATGTGTGATAGGTGAATGAGATCCTCACAGCATTAGGACTGCAGGAGTGCGCCCAAACTCGCACCATCTCCCTGTCGGGTGGCCAGTGTAAGCGATTGGCTATTGCTCTGGAGCTGGTCAACAACCCTCCTGTCATGTTTTTTGATGAACCCACCAGGTACCCAGAGCTGTAGTATTACACACAGCCTTATTCTTAACTGTAATCCTTTTAAAATACAATGTATGCGTTAATATTGCCCCTTTACGAAACCTTTCTGTTTAATAATTCCAAACTAATGTGTGTTTGTCTCTGTATGTTAGTGGTCTAGACAGTGCGTCCTGTTTCCAGGTGGTGTCCTTGATGAAATCTCTAGCTTTGGGCGGAAGAACCATTATCTGTACGATCCACCAGCCCAGTGCAAAACTATTTGAAATGTTTGACAAGGTCATTGCTGGATTCTAAAATTATATTGTATTGTGAAAAATGTGTTTCTGGGTTGAATGACTGTTCATCATGTTCTTCTTCAATACTCTGTCTGTTCTTCTGTGTAGCTTTATATCCTGAGTCAAGGTCAGTGTATATATAAGGGGACGGTACCGTACCTTATCCCTTACCTGAAAAACCTCGGACTCCACTGCCCCACATACCACAATCCTGCAGACTTTAGTAGGTCTACTATGTGTGTATACACTTGTGTATGTGTTTGTGTGTGTGTGTGAGAGAGAGAGAGATAGAGAGTGAGTGAGTGTATGAGTTTCTTTCTTCTGTTGAACACAAAAGAAGATATTTTAAAGGATGTTGGTAATCAAACAGTTGTTGGTAGCCATTGACTTCCATAGTATGAAAAAAAAAGTACAATGGAAGTCAATTGCTACCGTCAGCTGTTTGATAACCAACATCCTTTAAAATACCTCCTTTTGTGTTTTTAACAGATTTGGAACAACATTGATGGCATTTTCATTTTTGGGTGAACTATCCCTTTAAAAATGTCACACCTAAAGAAATTACTAAGATTTACTGATTTAAAAAAAAAAACAATTTAACATTAATAGTGATAAGAAATGTTTCTAGTGCAGTAAATCATCATGTTAGAATGATTTCTGAAGGATCATGTGACATTGAAGACTGGAGTAACAGCTAATGAAAACTCAGCTTTGTCATAATAATACAGTAAATTACATTTTAAAATATATTAAAATAGAAAACAGTTCTTTTAAATTTAAATAAATTTAAAATATTACTGTTTTTACTGTATTTTTGATCAAGAGAGTATAAGAGATTTTGAATGAAAGTGTTTCTCCTAATTTACTTTTATTTGTTATTGATAGTTTTTTACAGTATTGTATCCAGTGTGATTGAGTTGCTAAAGGCATCATGCCAGTGTATTCAAAGAGTTATTGTTTTCAGTTCCTCTTACCCATCAGTCCGTTTCTCAGCATGTGTATGAATTCTGCTGTCTTTCTGCTGGCAGTAATCGAGGTCGCCTCAGGAGAGTACGGTGATCTGAACCCTGTGCTTTTCGAGGCTGTTCAGGGAGGCCTGTGTTCAGCTGAGAGCAAGAAGAACTCCATTGACAAGAATGACCCCACCACATCCTGTCCCTCCCAGTGTTATAATGTGAGCGATGAACACACACCCTCACACACAAAATCTGTCAGTCTCTGTATCAGTATCTGACCCGCTCACTTTTTGTTTTATTGTATATTCGACCAGGATTCAGGCTACATTGAGAAACACACTTTTGCCACCAGTACCTTCACACAGTTCTGCATCCTCTTCAAGAGAACCTTCATCACAATTTGCAGGGACACGGTAACAATTATCCTCTCTTGTTATTGTCTGTGCCCAATATATTAAATGTTAAAAAAATCCAACGACAAAAGCAACGTCTCTCTGTGTGTGTGTGTGTGTGTGTGTTCAGGTATTAACCCACCTGAGGGTGATGTCACATCTGTGTATCGGCGTGCTGATTGGTCTGCTGTACCTGAACATTGGGAATGATGCCAGCAAAGTGTTCAACAACACTGGCTTCTTGTTCTTCTCCATGCTGTTTCTCATGTTTGCTGCACTCATGCCCACCGTCCTTACATGTAAGGCAATCTGTGTGTTTGGTTGTGTTTGGTTCATTCTTTATGAGCATGGAAAACAGATTTGATCTGAGTGAGTAAATCCTTTTTTGGTTTGTTATGAATTAGAAGCGTTCTTATTGGCTTGATTGAGAGTTATGGTTCTTACAGAATCAGTGGATCGAATTAGATGCTGATGCAATGATGAATTTTCCTTGCAGTTCCAATGGAGATGTCAGTGTTCATGAGGGAGCATCTTAATTACTGGTACAGTCTAAAGGCGTATTACCTGGCTAAAACCATGGCTGACATTCCATTTCAGGTACTTCTGTTTCTACATCTTTCTGTGATCATGTTAAATCAAAGCATGTAGCCACTAATGCAAAGGGCTTGAGAAGTTGGCATGTGAGGGGGACAGACGTTTCTAAATGTCTGGGGGATGTCAATCAATGACCTACTGGGTCTGCCACACTTTTCAAATCGTTCATATGTGTCAGGTAAAATCTATGAGTGCTTCTTCTCACTTTTCCAGATCATTTGTCCGATAATGTACTGCAGTATTGTGTACTGGATGACAAAGCAGCCTCCAGAGGCAGCAAGGTATCTGCTCTTTATGGCACTGTCCACCTCCACTGCCTTAGTGGCTCAGTCTCTGGGGCTTCTCATTGGAGCGGCATCCACCTCACTTCAGGTATGAGGACGTCAAACTAGTGGTGGTAACATGCACTACCGTTCAAAAGTATGGGGCCAGTAAAGTTGTTGTTTTTTTAAAGGAAATAAATATTTTTATTCTGTAAGGATTCATTAAACTCACAAGTGACAGAGAACATTTTAAAATTTTGTAAGAAAAAATTATGTAGATTTTGAAGAAGTTTATTTTAGCATAGCAGTGACAAGTATATGAAGCACCTTGGGTTCGTCGGCGTCACAATGAATGTTAAAGAATTTACCACCTTGAATGTTAATGAAGTTATGAAGCTGTGGTCTGTATGTTCATGAATTTGAGGTGCCCCACTGTCTGTGACAAATATATCATATTTGCTAATATAGATAATAAGAAATGTTTATTGAGCATCCATTCAGCATATTGGACAGATTTCTGAAGGATCGTGTGACACTGGAGAAGACTGGAGTAATGGCTGCTGGAAATTCTGCTTTGCAATCAGCAATAAGCTGCATTTTAAAATATATTGAAATAGAAAACAGTTTTTCAAAAACATTAAAAGATGTATATACTTACCCTAGACTTTTGAACTGTAGTGTGTTCTAAAATCAGTGAATCGAAAATATAATACATTGCTATGATAATTTTAATACATGTAATACATGAATACAATTAAATTTTATGTCAGTGTCATTGCCTGGCAGTTGTGATATCATGCAGATATTATGCACATATCAAGAAAAATATGTGTTGTATCCTGTGTCATTTATACACCACATGTACTTAGAGGAGTTTTCAATTCTTTTGATTAAAGACTATTCTCATAATTCCAAACAGTCTTTAGCACCACTCAGTGATACTCTAATAATTCAGTAAATCTGTTAAACAATATTGCTGGGCGTTGCTGAAGACGAAGATTAAAATGAAAAAAAAAAAAACTTTATTAGCAGAATGATAACTACACCAAACTTAATGTAAACGTTAACCAGAACCGACCAGGGAGCATACCAAGTAACGGAACATAACATTTATTAATATTTTAACTTGACTAGTTAACTTTGACAGTCCTAATGCATTCAGTTAAATTCCCCTTTACATTGACTGTTCTTTATATTTTCCTCTTTCACATCTTCAGGTTGCCACATTTGTAGGTCCAGTCTCTGCCATCCCAGTTCTTCTGTTCTCAGGCTTCTTTGTCAACTTTGACACCATCCCCAAATACCTTCAATGGAGCTCATATGTGTCGTACGTCAGGTCAGTCAAGAACATTGACAATCATAAACAGACATTCATCCTCATCACAAAAATATCACACCCACACACTGATCTATTCCTCTGCAGGTATGGTTTTGAGGGTGTGATCCTCTCCATCTATGGCATGAACCGCTCAGAGCTGGAGTGTCCCGGGGTGGTGTGTAAGTTCCAGAAACCAGAAGAGGTGCTGCAGCTGCTGGATGTGGAGGATGCTAAGCTCTATGTAGACTTCATTGTGCTGGGGCTCTTTTTCTTAATTCTGAGACTTGCCACGTACCTTGTTCTGCGGTATAAAGTCAAGTCAGAGCGTTAGAGCTCCTCTTCAGACATACATTTTATTTAGCATACTCATAAACTCATAAATGCACATAAAAATCTTTTTTGCAATGGACGCAGAAACCAATGCACATTGATTATTCGCCATTTTTTGGCAGTGCAACCTTTATCCTCAGTTTTTGTTACTTGAAAGATATTTTTAATTCTCTAAGTATAGAATAGTAAATTAATATGTAGTTTTTTTTACTTTCATTTTTATTTTTTGAATGTATTCCATGCAGTTTAACTGTAAATCAATGTACCCGTTACTGAACATTGAAGCATGAGTCTGTTGACAGGATTGGATGTATTTACATTGACAATTTCGTGACAGCTCCCAATAGCATGTGCATTGGCCAACAGCCAACATGTGAACAAGTCTCTTTATACCAGACTGAAGGAACATCATATTATCTCACTGTTAATGCATTTCAATTCAGACCAAGATGAAGAACACCATCAATATGTGTTTCGGAAGAGAGTGCGATGCATGCTTCGGGCACTTTAGGACATGCAGTCAGCAGAACCAAGAACTCTGACTGAGGTGTTCGGGATATCCTGTAAGAATCGTCCAACCAGCGTATCTTCAATTCCATTTTTGTCTTCCCACAATACACTGAGCTTGAGGAGAAAATATCTTCTGGAACCTGCTGAACATAAAGACTTTCATGATCTCCCAAGGCAATTCTGGGCAAAGCCATGCCAACCTAAATCCAACCTTCTGAGGATTGTTGAAGCAAGTGCCCTTGATGTGAACTGCCTATCATTTTTATCTGAAGGGGATCTGAAATCTTGTTTGAAAAACATTTCGGCATTTTGTCAGCATCCATCTGTCTCGTTACCTTAAATTATCTGACAACTGCCTCTTTGGTATCCTGAGAGATAAACAAACTATAGTTTTTGGGCTTTTGCTCTCTCGTTTTCATCAGGAGGGATCAAACCTTGAACTTGTACAATAAAAAAACTCCTTACAGTGACCAAAAAGAAAAAAAAACCCCCCTGAATTTACTGCTTTCAGCCAGGAACGACATATCAAATGTCATGAAATGACATTTTTCAAATGTAAATGAAAAAAAAACAAACATTTGCAATCATAATGTCTGATCTTATACGAACATCCATTACTGTTTAAATAGGACTCTCTGGCCTGTTTCTTTATGATTCTTTTGCGACTGTTCCCCGGACACTTAATCTGCACTGCTGAGGATATCAGGACCTTTGCAGATAGTTGCAAGTGACACGATCATATAGATGCTGGATGAACACTTTATGCCATCTTCAATGTGCTTTTCTGGATGGATTAATCTATGGCTCTTTTTTGCACTTGTATGTACACCTCCTCTTCCCTGCTTCTCCCCTAAGTTAACAGCCAGGCTATTCAATACCGCAATGCAAACATCTTCACAAGTGACTCAATGGACTATTTTTGAGTCCGGCTATGTGTTATGTCTCCTTATATAATGAAGACTACTACTTATCTTAGTATACACAAAGAAAAGTATATGTGTTATGCTTTAATCAAGACTGTAAATACATGTATGCACTTTTTTTGATGTTGTTTTATTGGAACTTTTTTGGACATTCGTTAATTTTATTTTTATATCCTTAAATATGACATGCAATTCTTGAAAAGGGAGTGTTGTGACTGGAAACCGCATGATGAATTTGGAATCAAAACACAAGGTGCTGCGACTGAGGAATTTTTGTTGCACATGTGTTGTAATACTGAAAATACTCCCAAGTTTTTGAATAATCTGCTGCGGGTTAATTTTAGGACCTTTTGTTATTGGTTTCAAATGTTGAATCTACTTGAGCCATGTGAGTTGTAAAAATGTGATACATAGGTTTTGAGAGCAGGAACCGGTCCTCATAATGTCAGTAGCATTCAACTCTAACACATAGTACTGTAAGGTACGGTTGCTCTTTTTCTAGAACAATCTGTCCACCGTAACATTGCACACAGCTTTAAAGATGATCTTTTGGTCATTCTGCAAGTGAAGAATTGCTGCTCTAAAATAAGTTTTGCTTCTTTGCCATATGGTATACCCAGGGAAAACTAGGTCAGCACTTGGGCGTGGATGCTTTCGGAACAAGGGATCAATGACACTATTAGCTGCTCGACAGTCAACAATCCAGCATTCAATATTGCTTGACTCCAACCAATCAGCAATTGCTTAGACAAAGTGTTATCTGTTGTTCCGTATCCTTTAGAGTCATTGGAGTGGTTTAGAACAAGGAAATGTTGTTCACCATCAAGAATCTTTCTTCTAATGGTACACAGACATAGTATAGAGAGTTGGATAATACCTGTTTCTAATAGCAATAGTATTGTTCTGTGCCTAGTGAGTGATATTTCCTTATCCTTGAATATTCAATTTTCAGCGCTTGTGTGTCAATTCTCTATTGTGTACGAATCATCATTTTGCGTTCTGTGTCATTAGAATGTGTCAATATGTTTTTCTGTATGTGGATGTTGAGAGACACACGGATGAAATCATTTCACACTCGTGTTTACTTACGATAGTTTTTATTTAAAAGCAAAATCACATTCTTTGGTACGCAGCATGCAAGCCTTAACAAATAAAAAGTTCCCTCTCAGATTAGAAAATAAAAAAGATAAGCAGGTAAAGTGCAAATTGATTTTTGAAATATTGAAAAGGACTTTTATGTACGAAACATTGTGCAAGGTTTTGGCTTGCACAGCAGATGTGCATAGAACAAGAGTTACTGCAGTTAGCTTCCCTCATCAGAAATGCAAGTTATGTGTGCTAAACCATATTCAAATGATTATAATAAATGCATTTATATATTATACACTCAATGATTTCTGTCTTTATTTTTCAAAATGTCAGTATTTAAGGGGTTGGATTTTGAAATCCACGGATGCTTCAATGTATATCTGAGTAATTATTTTCCTTCTAAATATCACATGAGTTAAGTTATCAGTGTGATTACTGAAATGTTCTTTTCATGTTTTCTTTGATGTCTTTATTTGATATCTGAATGCAGTAACAGTGCTCATTTAGCCCGGCTTCCAGAGATTAAATATGGACTCGTTTTGTGTTTGAGAAAGGTCTTCAACATGTGTTAAAACATACAGGGGTCAGTGAAGTCTTTATAGTTTAAGGGACTTGTTCTTGGTTAAAGCCTTACTTTCCATATAGACTAAAGTGTAGCTCTCCTTGAGAGAAAGAACATATTATGCTAATGTTATGAGAGGACTGAGAGCTGGAGCCTCAGGGTCCGAGTGCCAATGGAGATATGCTTTGGTCTATCTGTATATCTGTGTGAAATTACGTTTAGTTTATCAATCTTTTAGCCAATGAGAATCATTCAACCTGAAGCAAGGACTTAGCTTAGACCTTGGTGAAGGTATAATTGCAGTGATCTTTGTAACCATAAGCGGGCGGGGTGGTGGATGGACGGGTGGGGGGGACTAACTCCTTGTGAGTGAAGCTGACTTCTGTTGATGAAACTGCTCTCTATCTTCAGAAAAGCTTTTCTTCAATTCATTATAATTATGACACTGGTCATTCATTCATCATCTGGTTCTGGATCTTTGACTGTAAATCCCTTTGCAGTACATAATTGTTTTACTTTATTATTTTTAATCCTGAATTTTGTTTGTTGTCTTTAAATAGGATAGCTTGCTTAAAGTCACCATGAAATCAAAACGGATTATTCCTAATTTTTTAACGGAATATTGTAGTATTTATTATAAATGATTTATCCATGCACTCCCTTTTTTCATTTTCTCATAATCTTAAATCAAACTTTCCCCTCCCTTTACTTTAAATATTGAATTTCATTAATTGTGTAAATTGTGTGATATGTGTGATATCTGCATTTTTTTCTTGTTCGATAATATTTCAAACAGATATCACACATATCACACAATAGGGAAGAAAATACTCTGCAACTTATTTTTCATGCCTACTTTAAATATTGAATTTCATTAATTGTGTAAATTGTGTTGTCAATCAAAACGGTAGGCTACATAATTTGTGTAAACAATCTATTATCTAAATGGTTGGTATTGCTATTATTGATACTGAAGAATAGCCAGGAACCCACCACATCTACCTTACAAATTGTCCAAATGAGGTGCGTAAACCAAAAACTATATGTAATTCGAGAAACTCGCCTGTCAAAAGTCTTTGATTTCTAAAAAAAAAATGAGCTGAACAGATGAAGAAGTCTTTTGACCATGGATTGGAAGAAAATCCAGATGCTTATTTTAGGACAGATATGACTTACTTTTCCTAACCTGATAATAATCAAGATAAGGTAAAATGTGTGCTGTAAATGCACTTTAAAACATGTCAATGCCTTATTACCACCACGACATCTGAATTGTATCAGGTTGGTCTCAGAATGTCCTTAAGCCCATCTCAGGTTGGTTTCATTATTCCTTATAGAAGCTTAATTTTTTTTTTTTCAAAAAATGCTATCTTAGTGGGTTAGCACTAAGAGATGAGACTCCTTCCATCTCGCTTCCCCATCCCCTTGCAACTTTTATACATCAGCTCTTAAATTACAAAACTGTATTCACAATTTGTTCTTGCGTTCCATGAATTTGTTTCATCCTCACTATTATCCTCTATTATCCTCACAGCCTCTTAAAAGGATAAGCAATTGCATTAGTCAGTCTTTGCAACAGGCTATAGTGAAGTTGAATAGTATGTTGAGTGCTGATGCAGGTGTGAGACTTACCGAGAGAAAGACTGTGTTTACACCCAAGGTCTGGAACAACAGGCCCCTCTTTACGAGCACACTTAAATCATTAAAAGAGGAGCATAATGAGGAACACACATGTGTTCCTGACACTCATATTCCACTGGCGCGCTATGAGACAAGAGACAGCTCAGGTAAGTACCTCTAGCTCTATTCTTGTTTCTGTTTTGAAAGATTGTACTGTGTTTTTTTTTTTTAACTCTGATTATTCATCCATGTGAATAATGGCTAATGTTAAATCATTAACTGTGAAAATGTATAAATGTGGGAAAAAAGGCTTCATAGTATGGGTGGAATTTACATAATTTGTTTAATTTGCATGGTCACGGTTGTTACACACATGGTTATTCTATGAGAAAAGTAAACTGTTTTAATGATTAGCTTAAAAGTAAACCGTGGTCACTCCATGGTCACTTTGGTGTTTGTGTGATCTCAAGGCCACTGGGGTCTGTTTATTTAAGATTGTTGAGGACATAGTGCCACATAAAAATGAGACAAAAAACTAATGTCCATTGTATTATTTTCTTTGTAATTATAACATTTCCAGTATTTTAACCTGTGACTTTTGAATTATGAGTCATGCAGCTTAAGCTATCAACCAAGTAATGTGCAGAATGCGGTGACACGATTTACCTTGCCATTTTTGACATGTGCTGTAGCTACTTAATATAAACAAGGTTTTAACTAGGTGTTTAATCAAAGCCTATCAACCAAAGGTAAACACTATTTTGAGTATGTTTGCTAAAAACATCACATGTTCTCACTATGGATGACTAAGTATTAAGGGAAGTCAGAGGAGATGAGCTGTAACCACATTTTCTGAGTCAAGATCTGTTTATGAAATCCAGAGGTTAAATTGTAATTTGTAAAGCAAAATGACTGCTTTTGACTCAACATTAGGAATCTGTTTTTTGTCCAGGAATTTAAGGTGTCTTTGACTTTTTATCATTTCAAGTTCTTCCTCATTACTTTAGTTGCAGTGCTGCGGGATGTCATGGAGCTGATAGAGTAAGTATTTTAATGGCTTGTGCCCCTTCACAGACACACATTCACACATGCTTTTGACTTTGTGCCTTCTGGTTTGATAAGCGTACAAATGGACGGACCTGCCTCACTTTATGGCTTCATCAGATTTCTGAGTGTACTAAAATACTGTCCGGGAAGTAGGGTATATTGACTTGTTTATGGCAGTGCACTAGATCTCATTGGCTGCTTGTGTATAGAACTTATCAGAGGGCAGAAACTCATTCCTTAACCTGTTCTTTTGTATGTTCATTAAGGAAGTTTACCTTCAATCCCAAGGAGGGAATAGACAATCCAGCCATGGTGACTGCAGAAGATACAGGTTAATGAGTCCTTGTATTGGGTATTATTAGTGCCTTTTTGTGTGTGGATAGACTGGATACTTTGAGATTTACAATTAAAATTATTTTGTTATGTTTTTTATTTATGTTTGTGAATTATTTTTCACTGAGACCACGACAGATTTCAGATGTCTGTTCTATACCAGGGTTCCCCAAACTAAATGGAAAGCTAATAATTAAATAAATCATACAAAAAAAAATAATAATAATAATTTTAATATTAATATAAAACATCAACTAAAAATATTATTTAATTTGTTTACCTGTATGTCATGTGACTATTAACCAACATCAGAGAACGACAAACATTCAGCTGTGTTGTTTAATTATTGAAATAGCCTATTGAATTAAAATCTCATTGTGGTTTTCGAATAAATATTTTAGATCAAAGAGGTTTGGCTAGCAAAAAAACGTTTGGGATGTTCCCTGCTCTATACCATTATTATATTTTATAAACAAATACAGCTCAGAATAATACGAAATACAACAAAAACGCTGCTAAAATGTGTTACCATAGTTTATAGTATACCGTAGTGTTGAAGTGTACAGATTGTTCATTTAACTCCAGTCTTTGCTGACAGAGCATGTGTCAAATCCCACACCACGTGTGTGTGTGTTGAGGAGGGAAGAAGGAGAAATCTTTGGCTTCCGTCTGCGTGTGGAAAGAGGGCGGCGGGGTCATATAATCAGGCAGCTGAATTCAATGGGTGTGGCAGAGAGGAGTGGGCTCAGGGATGGGGACCGCGTGCTTGAAGTCAATGAGAAGTTTGTTGACAACGTGGAACACATGGAGGTGAGAAGTCATGATCTTTGTTTTGCAATTGTTGTATGTTTTTTTTTTTTACTGTACAAGCTATGAACATGTGTTTTTTGTATCAGGCTTTGTAACAGATCACTTTATTATATTTGTCCCATTTGTTTAGGTGGCCCGTATGATTCAGGTGAGTGGATCACAGTTCTGCTTTCTGGTGTTAGATGAAAAGGCCTACAACCAGGCTGTTTCTGAGGGCCGTGACCTTAGAGAGTTGGCTAAAGCCAGCCGCGGAGAAGGATGGAGGCCTCCTCGTCTCTGCCACATCAAGAAAGATGCTCCTGGCCTGGGCCTCAACATTCTGCCTTTGGAAGGTAAGAACCACAGTATCTCACATACATTTTTTTTTTTTTTTAAATCTGTAATGCTGTTTGTATCGTCATTTTTGAGATTTTTCATATTTAATCCAACACGCAGTGAGGTTAAAGGTCAAGTGTGTGCTTTCTGGTGTATCTGTGGTGTAGGTGAGAAAGGCAAATTCACAGTAAGCCCAGTGAGAGGGGGGGCCGCAGAGAGGGCAGGAGTGAGGAAAGGTGACCGGCTGATCTGGATGGATGGTGCCATGACCTGTGAACTCACACACTCTGCCATCAGCAGAATGGTAAGTGTAGTGTTGATAAATGTTATAGCCCTTTAAGGGTGGTGTTACATGGGAAGGTGGGTGTGGTCAGTACCCGGGGTGCAGGGGGTTGCTTGAGTGTAATGTAAGAAAGAGGGCAATAAAACAAGAAACACGTTCGGCTATAGATCTAATCCGCATTGTGTCAGTTACTGATAAATCTATAGTAAGCAAGGACTAGATACACTGTAAAAAATATACGGTTAAATGTATGGTTAAAAAAAACAGCAGTTGTGGTTACCAGATCGTGTGGTTAACATCACAGCATTTATTTCCATTAAGGGGTGCATACATTTGTTAAATTTATTGTTGAGAGGAAAACCCCTTGAGATGTGACATCTCGTTTTCGTGGGGACCTCAAGAAAAATATTCTTCACAAACATACATACATACTAACAAAACAAAGACAAAAGACAAAAGCTCTCCATCACACCAAAACCACCCATATCTTCCCCAATCCAACCATTAGGCAGTAAACAGTTAAGGTCATTCATATAAACTAAATAAAAACTACAACAAATATATATATATATATATATATATATACACACACACACACACATTAACTAAATAACAGAAAATTTAACACACAACCCTATGATATATATTTAATAAGAAGAATTAAACTACTGTATTAGTAACTATTTTTCACTGTAAACTATTTGGCAATTCATTGTTCCAAATGTTACATTATTTTACAGTAAAATTCCATATAATGCTAAGTTAAACCATTGTCACTATGTGAATGGCAACTGACAGTTTCAATATTTTTTTCTTGCAAACGTTTTTATAGTGTACAAAGCTCTTCTGAGCGTAGACCTTTTGTCTCTCACATGATGGTTATGGTGATGATATTTCCAGGTGAAGAAGTGCAGTGATCACATGACAGTGCTGGTCATTGACAGTGACAGTGAGAAGAGTTATGCCTGTAGGAAAATGCCCATTCTCCCAGCCCTGGCTGACGCAGAGAACATGCCGTATAGGCCCCACAGACTGCATTTGGTGTTGGGGCCAGAAGGGTATGGCATCTTGCTCAGGCTGGAGAAGGCTGGAGCAGGACGCAGGGGTGAGAGGCAAACACACATTTGACATGTACTAATTTATTTGCAATCTATTTGTACAACATAAATGGATTGCTGTCTACATATTTATGTTTGGTTTATACAGTTCACATGGTGAGAGAGGTGGATAATGGCAGCCTTGCTGAACTGGGAGGTGTTAAAGAAGGTGAGGTGATTCTTGAAGTGAATGGAGAATCCACAGACTCACTGAGTCATGATGAAGTTGTCAGCAAAATCAGACAGAGTGGGCAGCAGGTCACCCTCACAACTATGCCACCTCAGGGCCATGACTTCTACACTAAGGTGAACATACTTTAAAAATATAATAACATTACTTTTCAAATAACATTTATCAAAATGGTTAATCACATTTATCAAATGTTTAAAAAAGTCACAGGAATAAAGTTCAGATTATGGCCTTGATCAACCAAAGTGATAGTGTGCACTAGAAGTGATAGTAATAAACTAACTTTTAACTACACTTTGAAAAAAAATATATATTTTAACCCATTTGGTAATGACAATTTAAAGCAAAAAAAGCTACTCTCAGGATATTTATGAATATATATAATACATGTTTAAAGATTGATCGTCTGTTTACTTATGTCTGTTTGTCTACTTACTTAGTTGTCAAACGACGTCATGTTTCACTCTTTCTTAGCTGGGCCTCTCCCCCTTACTGTTCTGTGTGGATTTTACGTCTGGTAGCCCGGAGAAAAAGGAAATCCCAGTGACGCTGAATCCTCCAGTGCCCTCTATTGAGCCTGAGGTGGATGTGCAGATTGATCCTAATGTTAGATGCTGTAAATTGCTGAGAGGCTCGGCTGGTTTTGGCTTCCATTTGGGTTGCGTCCAACAGAAACCTGGAACTTTCATCAGCCAGGTACAATGAAGCCCATTCACTGACAAATCAGCCTTCATACGATACTGACTTCAGATGTTAGGACTGGATAGAAATGAACCTTTGTTCTGGATCTGTGGGAACTCTTGACTAAAGTATACTCTTGGAAAACCAGCTATATCATGGGAGTCTTCATTTGTTAGAAATGATAGAATTACATAAACATTTTATAAAAGATCAGTGATACAACTCAGTTAGATGCTCTGACAATTACTACAAGTAAAATCTATAATTTCAAGTGAATTTGACGGTGTATAACTTACAATTTACCAACATTTCTTTAGGTAGCAGAAGAGGGTTCAGGTCTGCTTCAGGGTGATATAGTGGTGGAGGTGAATGGACAGAATGTGGAGAAAGAGTCTCTGGAGGATGTGATCTTACTTGTGAAGAGAGGAGGAGACACTCTTTCTTTACTTGTAGTAGATCAAAAAGGTTATGACTGGCTGAAGAAGAATGGGAAGCCAATCACTGTGAACAAACTAGCAACAATCTCTGAGGTATGCAATAAAGTATTGTTGTGCTTTCTCGTGTTTGGTATCAGTGTCGGTGGAGGCGTGAAGAGAGACACACAACAAACAAAATCACTTACGCTAAATGTAAACAACAATAAGCAGTAAACTAATCCCTGCCTAATGACATAGCCACATCTGATTGGCTAATTCAAAACTCATTATATTAAATAACTGTAACTCAATACATTTATTGATCAATTGCATGATTGTTCCATACATACTCACACACTCAATAAGCAAACACATCAACTTCATTAACTTTATTTATATTTGTTCATGTACCATTTGTTACAGGTGGAGGAAAGTGTTTCGAGTGCTGGTGAACCCCAAACACTGAAGACTGATGACTTGTCTAATGTTGACTGGACTTAGTTCATAGTATAGTAGGGATGGCCATAAAACAGTCCTGATAATTTCAAAGAGATTAGTACTTTGAGAATGATCTTTAACTAGAGTTTCACTGGTTAGCTAAATTCTCTGAACTATATTTGCACTTCAGCAATTCAAAACGTGTGCATGCGATCACAATTCTGCAAAATCAGATTGCTAAGGTTAAGATTGGTCTGGATGTAAAAGATCCAGAATGCATTGCAGGAAGACATTAACATTGATTGCTGTGTTTCTGAGAAGTATTATCTATTATATCAGTATTTTAACATGTGCTCACTATGTTTTGCCAGGTTGTGACTTATGAATCTGCCATGTTGTGACTTATGAATCTGCCATTTTTGCATTGTGTCATTTTCATCCTGAATAAATTATAATTTAAATAAGATCAAATGTCTTTTTTCTTTTTCGCCAAATCAAAGTGTTAAATAAATTAAGATCAACAAATGAAAAACTAAAAATGTAAATAAATGTCTCTATGAATGATCCAGGAAATAATTTGTTTTTGTTGTAGCCTACTGACCTTGGCTACTGATAATTTGATCATTGATTAATAATAAATAAATAGTACACAATTTGCTTTTACAACACTGATACATGGAAGATATCATTAGAAGATATCACCGTCACCGATATCACCCGTTTATGTAGTGCATTTACAGTCGCACTTAGTCGGCCGTTTTATGCCGCTCTTATTTATGTAAAAATATTTTAATCCGTGCATGGTATTACATGTTTAGTCGGGTTGAACCAAATTTTATTTTTATAAACAATATTTTTTGTTCAACATGTAAGTTACACTATATAGATATAGGTATATTTATGTATAGGCTTGCTCTAAATTTCCGTCAGGCGTATAAGCTTGCATCCTCGATTGAAGGGTCCTTCGCTGGAGGTGACATTCATTGAAGGGCCCCAGTTGTGGAGAGAAGCGGCGAATTAATCTTCACAGTTCACAGAAATCATGGCCCAGGCGGTACAGAAACTCGTGGCTAAAGTGCCAACGTTGGTCGGCGGTAAGAATAATTACCTTTTACTTAAACCGTAGAAGATTTATTTCTTTGTAATGTTTGTTTCTAGTTAAATGCTTCTGGTTTCCGCAGCTGTTAGAACAGGCCGCGTAAATGATCAAATCATGAATTAGATCAATTAAACATAACGCATACGCTAATGTTTTGTGCAAACGGATGACCGATCATTGTGTTAGTAAATGTTTTTGTTCTGTCTGGTCTAAAAACTGTTTATACATTCTAGAATGCCTAGCTCGTACTTCTACAACAGCGTGTTATGCTGAAGTTGACGGAACAGTCTCCCAATGTCACCGTGTGGCGAATACATTCAACTCAAATATTGTGTTGTTCCCTTGGCCTTTGCTTCGTGACATTTCTATTTACAATGGCGTTGATATTGATATTTTGCAGCTGCTGTGAGCTACTCCAAGCCCCGGCTAGCCACATTCTGGTATTACGCCCGTGTGGAGCTGGTTCCTCCCAGCCCTGGCGAGATCCCCAAGGCCATCAGCGGCTTCCAGGATCTCATCAAGGGCTTCCAGTCAGGACGGCTCGGTCAGACTACAGTCAGGGTTAGTATGGGTCCTTCGAGTTCTTGGTTGCATTTCAAGTTGAACATTTCCGTTTTAAATAAAAGATTTCAATATTTGCATGACAGCTGTCCCTCAGCCTGAGCAGATGCGTGAAAAAAAATATTTTGTAATTTGCTTTTTTTAATTACTTAAATATTTTTAAAAACGTGTCTGTTCAGTCAGAGGGACCGCTTTCATGTGATTTTCTATTTTAAATATGTATTTATTAAATTGTGCAAATAACATGGACACCATTAGGAAAGGCTTTGGAATTACATTGCAGCATGCATATTTATTAAGAAAGTTGCTCTAAATCATCCATCTATCCATCCATTCCAAACACAAGCATATACGTTTGTGACCCGAGCTGGCAAAATGAGTTGCACATTTTCAAAAATAAGTCATTTTCACATTGTATGATCTGTTGAAATCAGACTAATTACTTGACAAAACCTGTTCAACTGTAGTTGATAGTCAGCAAAGTCAATTTTGAGTTTTCTGAAGGTTCTAAAACAAAATCAGCTACCATCCCTTAAAATCCCAGGTAACAGCAAATTTGGCACACACCAAGTCATATACATAATCAACTTTTTTTTTCTTCCCATGAAACCACAATTGTTTGATTAACATTAATTAAACAGACAGCTTATATATTTAAGACCTACTGCACTGATCTAAAATAATGTTACACAGATGTTTTCCCCCAACAGTTTACAGAACTTTCACATAAGACATAACAGAGGTTTGCATAAATACTCACCTTGATGGATATTTTTAAATACTTTAATTGCAGTGTTTCCCCTACCATTGTTTTAGCCCAAAATGCTGACGAAATCCAGTCATAAAAAAAGTAATTTACTGTGTATTTTCGAGGAATAAATAGAAAGCGGTTCAGTACACTTGAAATCAAATCTCGATGTAGACTGGTGTGTGTGAATATTAAACCACAAAGACTATTTAAATACGAATCCTGCTTGCCTTGTTCCGTGTGAATGAATGGTGGTGCAGCCGACGTGCAGTTTCATTTGTCACACACACTGAAGACACTGAAGCACGTGTGATGCTTGTGCTGTTTTTTTGCCTATATGAAGACAGAAATGCATGAACTTCCTTTCCAGGCTCTAGATCCACTCTGAAAGTCACTTTGTGATCATTTAACTGCTTCATTTGAGAAACTATCATCATGACATAAACTCACAGAAACTTAAAAGGTCTTTGCGGCAACCCGCCAATTTGCGTCAAAATAAGTTTAAAGGGTTAGTTCACCCAAAAATGAAAATTAAGTCATTAATTACTCACCCCCATGCTGTACCAACCCCGTAAGACCTTCGTTTGTCTTCGGAACACAAATGAAGATATTTTTGATTAAATTTGAGAGCTGTATAACTACCACATTGGCTCCTAAGGGACTGCCTCTTGACGGCCCAAAAAGTCAATGAAGAAAATGTTTAAATATCCCAAGTGACTACCGTGGCTCAACTATATGTTTATCAAGCGACGCGAATACTTTTTGTGCGAAAAAACAAACAAAAATAACGAGTTTATTCGACTATTTCTTTTCTTCCTTGTAGGCCAGAACGAGACTTCCTTATAGATTTCCACGACGCATGCGCGAGAATTGCGATCTAAGCTGGTGTAAGCAGATCGCAAATCTCGCGCATGCGTCGTGGAAATCTAAGGAATTCTCGTTCTGGCCTACAAGGAAGAAAAGAAATAGTCGAATAAACTCGTTATTTTTGTTTGTTTTTTCGCACAAAAAGTATTCGCGTCGCTTGATAAACATATAGTTGAGCCACGGTAGTCACTTGGGATATTTAAACATTTTCTTCATTGACTTTCTGGGCCGTCAAGAGGCAGTCCCTTAGGAGCCAATGTGGTAGTTATACAGCTCTCAAATTTAATCAAAAATATCTTCATTTGTGTTCCGAAGACGAACGAAGGTCTTACGGGGTTGGTACAGCATGGGGGTGAGTAATTAATGACTTAATTTTCATTTTTGGGTGAACTAACCCTTTAAATAAAACTGAATTTAAGTAATAATCAACGTTTTAATTTTAACAGTAAAGCTCATTGTGCAGCTCGTTATTTTACAAAAGTTTGATAAATCATAAAATTTGTGTTTTATGGTTTCATTTTATTACCAGACAAAAACACAAAACATAATTAGTGTGGAATTTTTTTTTTCATATTTTTTCTTAATGTTCATAATACGTGATTTCAATTAATTAGACATGCTTTTTGATTGCTAAAAAATGACATGGCAGCTCTGCAACACTAGCAGGTTCAAACCTGATTATTTAATATATATTATTAATTATGTAATGTTTCTCATCACTTTTATTTCCTTTTTTTTTGCCACCACAGGATGCTATGAGGAATGGGCTTGTTGCCACAGAAGTTCTGATGTGGTTCTACATCGGGGAGATAATTGGAAAGAGAGGCCTTATTGGCTATGATGTATAAATGTGGACTGTCCTGATTGCTTGCTTTCGTTGCTAAGTTGTGTGTGTTCCCTTCTTTATCAGAATTCTTGGAATCCAGGAACTAAATAAATAAATATTATTAAATAACAGCTTTCATGCTTTTTTAATTCCAATTTAGTCAGTGGACCCAGGATAATGGTACAGTGAATTACAATGTTGTTGAACTCTAGGATGTTTCCATCACAGTTTAGTACTTGGTGTTTTGAGCTCAGCCCTTACATGATACTCTTCATTATATAACCACTGCCCTTTAGAATGTTTCCTCTCTTCTTGATTTAAATGAGTGAACATTTTTATTGTGGGATGGATTAACCACTGTGAGAGATTCCTAGCCTATGTTAGGTTAGAAGTGGCTCAAGATTTTTTTTCACAAGAAAAAAAACATGTATACATGTGGGATATCGGTTTATTTTGGCATACACACACAAATCATGTAATAATTGACATCTCTTCACGCTCCTGTTTTTCTGATAGCATTCGCATAACATTTCCCAAGTATTTGTGAAACTCCTGTCGGACATCTTCAGGCTCTTCCTCAAGGTTTGAATGAATGAGAGGCAGCTTGTTTAACTGTGGGGCTACACAGAGGATAAATAAAATGTTTTTGTTGTAAATGTGATATGCACTCAACATTTCAAATCAGCAATTTTTGAAGGGGTGTTCAGAAATTAAATGAGAATTTTAAATGAAAAGGCAAATAACAGCATCATATTAAAATCTGCAGTAACATTAATTATAGTCAGGTCTTCATCAGCCTCAAGATAGCTTATTTCTCTGACAAACTAATACCGTGAAGTGGACAAGTTACCTAATGGTGGATGGCTATTGTCAGCTCCACACCCTGGTTTATGATGTGCTATGAGCAGACACTGGGCCTCTAGCAGTCCCTGTGAGGAGATGATTGTTGAGTGCCAGGTCTCAATTTCCTTCAGATGACTGGGCACATCTGGGTTAAATACAATAACTACCCCATTGGAGTCTTTCATTATAGCTGGCCAACATGATTCAAACCTGTGCACACACAATAATGAATGAATTCACTCAAGAAAGAAAATACAATTGACGACTTCAATTTTGTTCAGGAAAAGTGGTCTACATTTGGTCAACTTACTTGAAATCTCCCGCACAATCCCATAGTTCCACTTCACATGCTGAATTTTTGTTGCCATTAGATAAACTATGAGATTCAAACTCAAGTATCCTATAGACGGGAATTATTAGAGGATGTAACAAAAACAAAACGTTTGACCAGACAGCTTAAACATTGATACTTATTGCAACAAAATATTTCAAATAAACCCACCTTACGCCTTGTGTTGGGCTGTAATGATTAGCTCCAATTTGTTCCGTTGTGTCGGAGAGAAAATTAGCCAATGCTGTTTTTCCACACTGTCAACATGAAATATGAAAAATAGTGATCTAACGTTACACTAAATAATTTAATATTATACATCGCATTCTACACACCTCTACATTACCTCGCTTGGTCCAATGAATAATATTTTCACCTTGACCATCTTGACGTATCGAGAGAATAAAAAGACAAGGAAGAAATTTTTGAGTAGAGATTCAAACCTAGCTAACGTTAGCGCGCTAGCTAACAAAGATAACAAGTTCACGTGCAGAAAAAAAAAAAACGAATTACAAAACGTTTAATCAACGTGCCAAATACAAATAAGTGCGATATTTCTCCTAGTAAGTTATATAGACAGCTAGATGAAGAGCATGGCGAGTTATCTAATCATGATGGCTAACATAAACAACTCGTTTCCAAGGCGATTATGCAGAAGTTACGCGTCGCAGATTCGCTAATTCATTCATTTAAAATACATTCTTAATACAAATATAAACAAATTACATACTTAATTCATCAATTAAAAAAATATATACATAGACAGGCCAGAAGAAATAAGAGTTGATTTTGCCAATTAGTTTTCAGGAAGTAGGCTAATTTAGACAACGCTGGCTTTTAGCGACAATTAATACAAGATTACACCAGATTTTGCACATAAATAACTTATAAAACATATGTGACAGCTTGCCCCTTTTCTGAAAAATACTCTGAATTTTTCAGATTTCTATGTGAACTAGCTTTCGCTTTTGAAAAACAAAATGTGTAACGTGTGGCCATATTACAGACTTGAATTACATGTCCTAAACGTGATCCTAAAAGTGATTTCTATCGCCAAAAGTTGCTATAGTTGTAAAGTTGTATTTCCTTTTATAGCCACACGAGGACAGCACACATCTGTCATCTGCCATGCTGCTTACAAATGTAGCAGCAATCTGTCCAGCCGAGCAAGTTTGTCTTCAAAAAATGTTTCTACGAAAACAACACGTACGCCCAAGTGAATTGAGGGTTAGAAATAAACCGGGTAACACACAGCTGTTAACAGGTACGTAACGTTAGCTGTCAGAGGATGTTACAACCTTAAAGTTTAAAAAAATAGTGAATCTGCTCCAATACGGCCTCTATATTTAAAAGATAAAACAAAGATACTTTGTGTCAGAAAATGTTGCTGCAGTTTATACAAACACTTTCACCCACAGAATGTTCATTTTAGCAGCACAAAAAACGTCTTGGTAAAATACATGACATTTTATTATTACTGCCAATGTTATGTGATTATATTTTTCTAACAGTAAAGTCAGATCATCCAGCTGTATAATGTCCACTATGACAGCAAACCAGTGACCTTTCACCTCCAGTAATTGTAAAACATGTTAAACATCTATGTGACCACGTTATACTTTTATTAGATCTGTGAATGGGAGTGTTAGAATTAAGTTGTATCCTTCTGATAATTTTAGTTAGGTTTTTGGAGCAGACCATTTATGTTCATGATATGTTTTATGTTTCAGGCTGCAAAAAAACATTTGAATTACTGTATTATGGCAGCCGAAAAAAAACTGTGTGTGTGTGCAGGCACTACACCCAGTACAACTTATACAATGCATTTCCTCAGTCATTATGATTCAAAATCTCCACATTGTAATAATTGTCTAAACCTCACATAATGTGGAAATCAGATGAGCTTTGGTAATGTAGTGTGTATTCATACTGTAAACATGTGTCTTGTCTAAGATGATCTTTTGTCCTTAGTAGACAATTTATTGTTAAATAGTTATCTTTTTTTGGTGGTGAATTTGTGGTTTCAGCAGCAAAACACAAGACAGATTTTGACTGAGAACAAATTACCAAAATTGTTTCATTGACATTAGTATTTAATGAGAGACCAGTATTTATAACAACTTTAAAACTTTATTGAAATATAAAGATGTCATTGCTGAATAATGTTGCTTTACAATGAGGATAGCTTTTGCATTTGGATACACATAATAATATTAACTTAAGAAGATATTAGCATCTAAGTGTTTTTCTTCATTTAAGCCTTCATTTAGGAGAACATTATATATTCTGCAGATAGGATCATTACTGAAAAGTTACCTTATTCCTTCAGAACCTGATAAAATAGTTTAAACGTCAGACAAATGGCATTCGACATAAAAGACAGAGTAAAAAAAAAATCATAGAATAAAGAGCAAAAATGTCTGTCCCACACTTGAGATTCTTCATGAAAATTACACAACTCATGTAGTGTTCATTTTAATTGACAGATCTTGACTGACGTTCCAACCCCAAACCCAGGATAGATGGGCTCAGTAAATTTGGTATCGAAACGATAGAGACGTGTCATAGTCTCACCAATACTGTAGAAGGCCAACACCCCTGCAGAGTGGTCCAGAAAGACCCCTATTCTCGAAGAGTGAGGGCCACTAACAGCCTTGTCTACCCTGTTATGCCAGGCCGAGTACCCTGTGTCAGAGCAGAGGAGGCTCCAAGATTTATCGTTGTAGCCCAGCAAGCACAGGGAGCCTTTACCCTTACGGCTAATGCCCCGATAGGCCACTCCAATCGAGAATTCTCCACTCCACTCAATTTCCCAGTAGTAGCGGCCACCTGACAGAGCCTCACGACACAGCACCTGGGCAAAGCTATCGAAGCGATCTTGGCTTTCTGAGTATGGCTGCAGGTCTCGGGTTCTAATCACCTTTCTGTTTCCCTCAGATAAGAACAGCTCCTTATGCGCCGTGTGGGGGTCTAGTCTCAGCTGACAGTAGTCTGGAGATGAGTAGACAGATAAAAGTTGCTTTAATGTGTTGCTTCAAACAGATCTTTATAAATCTTCCTCTGTCTGTATTTAAATTCTGATTTTATTAGTAATAATGCCATAAAAATACACTGGGACTAGAAACAATATTAAAATTCTGGCCAATACAGATTTTTTTTTTTCATGTTCTGGCTGGCAACAAACAAATGAACAATATTAATTATAAACTACTTCATCTATACTACTTCCCCCCCGCTAAAATCTATAAGCAGCCAAGTTTTAAATACAGTCAATTTAGGCATCACAACTTCATTATGTGCATTATGAAAAATGGATATTCATTTTGAGATTTGCTAAATATGTTATTCAATTATTAGTGTTTTTAAGTGATCTAAATATAAAAAATATAGAAAATGTATGATTAAATGTCCAGTATATTTTTAATATCTACTGATAACCAATATGGCACTGTTATATTACGCATCCCTAATTGTGAGAAACACAAACATTTGGATTTGAGAATAAGGAAATCATGATTTGTTTTTAGATACTTACATTTCAGAAATTCAGATCTTGTCCTGGGTTCTGTAGGAGGTGAACTGTCCACTGCATGAACTTCTTTAACTGAACACAAAGAGAAACACAGACTTTATGAGGTCATATCCCATATGTAAAATATCATTTAAAAGTTTGGGGTCAGACAAATTCCTTTTTATTTTCTCAAATAAATACTGTTCTTTTGAACTTTCTATTCATCTAAGAATCCTAAAAACAAGTACCATGGTTTCCACAAACAGAACCATTGTTAAATGTTATTATTAATATTATAAAAGTAAGAAATGTTTCTTGATCATCAAATCCGCATGTTAGAATGTTATCTGAAGGATCATGTGACTGAAGTAATGGCTGCTGACAACTTCTTTCAAAAACATAAATACATCTAACCAACCCTAAACCTTTGAATGTTAGTGTATTATGTAATGTTTTTTTTTTTTTTCAACAAGCCATTTTTAGCTTGTATTTGCTCCAGTCATGTGTGATTAATGTAAATCAATATATAGGTAAGTATTTAACTTACCTCTGGTACTTCTCTCCTTGGTGCGATTCTCCACAGTGTAAACTGGTACGTCGTTCACTGTTATAAACAAATAGGAAAACTTGATTTACAATTACCTTTTTAAACATGAAATACTAGTTTAAAGCAAGCAGATCTGAATAAGTCACTAAATCTTATTGTTTCAAATTCTATTAATAGAATTGAATAGCTCTTTTGTTTGTCATTTGAACTTTGCTCAGTGGATTGAAAACTTAGAAGAGTTGAGGAACTCAAAACACTGTTTACAGTCTCCATGTAATCACATGGCTTCCTTGCTGAAGTCATGTGTACTAGTTACCAAAAGGCCTGACTTATCAGAGTTAAAGACTGATCTATTTAAATGTTGGTTATTATTTCGGGACTTGAGACCCAGAAATTATATGTGTTGATATACTGTAAGTGCGAATTGTGGCTCTTTAAAGACAAACTGAGTTCAGCCATACCCTCCAAGTTCATGCAAAATAGAGGGCAGTGTGTTCAGATCAGCAAACAGGGACAACTTCACTTTAAAAAAACTACGCCTGTGTCTGATATGCTGTGCAGTGTGTGCTCTGACCTGATTTTGAGATTTTGCGTAGTTCATCTCTGCCCAGCTCCTCCAGCTTCTCTTTGATCTCAGCCACGGCCTTCCTGGCTGCACTGAAGGAAAAGTCTGGATTCAGAGACACTCTGGGTATGAAGCCATCATCAGTTGGGGTGCAGAGATAATTGAAATTCTGTTTAAAAGGAGAGAAATCTCATTAAATAAAATGTGTAGTGATGGAAGCCTTGATTACTGAAAGGTAACTGTGTTTACAATGTCTTTGAAACTTTCATTTAATGAAGGTGTGATGCCAAAAAGTTTGAAAAGCCTTTTTGATGTCAAATATGACGATTCCCCTTTTCTAAAATATAAAAGCACACTGTAAAAAATATATATATTCATGATTTGAAATCACAACATGTTTTCTTTTGTCAAATCAACTTAAATAATTAATTTAGTTCAGATAACATATTATTTTGGGTTTCTGATGATTAAATCAATCTCCTTCATTGTATTAACTCACTTTTTCCATTTGAATGAACTTAATTTTAAGGCAACCAGGTAACTTATTTTTTTAAGTTAAACCAACAATAATTTTTGTCAAATATTAAATGTGCCATTTTTACTGCACAAGGAGAAAATATTATAGAAAAAAAAACATAATATAATGTAAATATAAATAACTAGGTTTTAAACTGTTAATGTAAGGACATAATTAAAAAAAAATATCTACAAATCTGATCTCCAGATCATTTTGAAAACTCATGCCTTAAAGTACCTGTAAGAAGTGAATGTGATCATCAGTGCTATAAAGCTGTTTAAGTCCACTCTCTT